ATCAAAAGAGACAAAGAAGGCCATTACATAATGGTAAAGGGATCAATTCAACAAGAAGAGCTAACTGTCCTAAATATATATGCACCAAATACAAGAGCACCCAGATTCATAAAGCAAGTCCTTAGAGACTTACAAAGAGACTTAGACTCCCATACAATAATAATGGGAGACTTCAACACCCCACTGTCAACATTAGACAGATCAACGAGACAGAAAGTAAACAAGGATATCCAGGAATTGAGCTCAACTCCACACCAAGCGGACCTAATACACATCTACAGAACTCTCCACCCCAAATCAACAGAATATACATTCTTCTCAGCACCACATCGCACTTATTCCAAAATTTACCACATAGTTGGAAGTAAAGCACTCCTCAGCAAATGTAAAAGAACAGAAATTATAACAAACTCTCTCTCAGACCACAGTGTAATGAAACTATAACTCAGGACTAAGAAAGTCAATCAAAACCGCTCAACTACATGGAAACTGAAAAACCTGCTCCTGAATGACTACTGGGTACGTAAGGAAATGAAGGCAGAAATAAAGATGTTCTTTGAAACCAATGAGAACAAAGATACAACATACCACAATCTCTGGAACACATTGAAAGCTGTGTGTAGAGGGAAATTTATAGCACTAAATGCCCACAAGAGAAAGCTGGAAAGATCTAAAATTGACACCCTAACATCACAATTAAAAGAACTAGAGAAGCAAGAGCAAACACATTCAAAAGCTAGCAGAAGGTAAGAAATAACTAAGATCAGAGCAGAACTGAAGGAGATACAGATACAAAAAACCCTCCGAAAAATCAATGAATCCGGGAGCTGGTTGTTTGAAAAGATCAACAAAATTGATAGACTGCTAGCAAGCCTAATAAAGAAGAAAAGAGAGAAGAATCAAATAGACGCAATAAAAAATGATAAAGGGGATATCACCACCGACCCCACAGAAATACAAACTACCATCAGAGAATTCTATAAACACCTTTATGCAAATAAACTAGAAAACCTGGAAGAAATGGATAATTTCCTGGACACTTACACTCTTCCAAGACTAAACCAGGAAGAAGTTGAATCCCTGAATAGACCAATAGCAGGCTCTGACATTGAGGCAATAATTAATAGCCTACCAACCAAAAAAAGTCCAGGACCAGATGGATTCACAGCTGAATTCTACCAGAGGTACAAGGAGGAGCTGGTACCATTCCTTCAGAAACTATTCCAATCAATAGAAAAAGAGGGAATCCTCCCTAACTCATTTTATGAATTTTATGAGGCCAACATCATCCTGATACCAAAGCCTCACAGAAACACAACAAAGAAAGAGAATTTTAGACCAATATCCCTGACTAACATCAGTGCAAAAATCCTCAATAAAATACTGGCAAGCCGAATCCAGGAGCACATCAAAAAGCTTATCCACCATGATCAAATGGGCTTCATCCCTGATATGCAAGGCTGGTTCAACACATGCAAATCAATAAACATAATTCAGCATACACAGAACCAAAGACAAAAACCATATCATTATCTCAATAGAAGCAGAAAAGGCCTTTGACAAAATTCAACAGCCCTTCATGCTAAAAACTCTCAATATATTCAGTATTGATGGAATGTATCTCCAAATAATAAGAGCTTTATGACAAACCCACAGCCAAAATCTTACTGAATGGGCAAAAACTGGAAGCATTCCCTTTGAAAACTGGCACAAGACAGGGATGCCCTCTCTCATTCAACATACTGTTGGAAGTTCTGGCTAGGGCAATCAAGCAAGAGAAAGAAATAAAGGGTATTCGGTTAGGAAAAGAAGAAGTCAAATTATCCCTGTTTGCAGATGACATGATTGTATATTTAGAAAACCCCATCATCTCAGCCCAAAATCTCCTTAAGCTGATAAGCAACTTCAGCAAAGTCTCAGGATACAAAATCAATGTGCAAAAATCACAAGCATTCTTATACACCAGTAACAGACAAACAGAGAGTCAAATCATGAATGAACTCCCATTCACAATAGCTTTCAAAGAGAATAAAATACCTAGGAATCCAATTTACAAGGGATGTAATGGACCTCTTCAAGGAGAACTACAAACCACTACTTAGTGAAATAAAAGAGGACACAAACAAATGGAAGAACATTCCATGCTCATGGATAGGAAGAATCAATATTGTGAAAATGGCCATACTGCCCAAGGTAATTTATAGATTCAATGCCATCCCCATCAAGCTACCAATGAGTTTCTTCACAGAATTGGAAAAAACTGCTTTAAAGTTCATATGGAACCAAAAAAGACCCCGCATTGACAAGACAATCCTAAGCCAAAAGAACAAAGCTGGAGGCATCACGCTACCTGACTTCAAACTGTACTACAAGGCTACAGTAACCAAAACAGCATGGTACTGGTACCAAAACAGAGATATAGACCAATGGAACAGAACAGAGTCCTCAGAAATAATACCACACATCTACAGCCATCTGATCTTTGACAAACCTGAGAAAAACAAGAAATGGGTAAAGGATTCCCTATTTAATAAATGGTGCTGGGAAAATTGGCTAGCCATAAATAGAAAGCTGAAACTGGATCCTTTCCTTACTCCTTATACAAAAATTAATTCAAGATGGATTAGAGACTTAAATATTAGACCTAAAACCATAAAAACCCTAGGAGAAAACCTAAGTAATACCATTCAGGATATATGCATGGGCAAGGACTTCATGTCTAAAACACCAAAAGCAACAGCAACAAAAGCCAAAATTGACAAATGGGATCTAATTAAACTAAAGAGCTTCTGCACAGCAAAAGAAACTACTGTCAGAGTGAACAGGCAACCTACAGAATGGGAGAAAATTTTTGCAATCTACTCATCTGACAAAGGGCTAATATCCAGAACCTACAAAGAACTCAAACAGATTTACAGGAAAAAAGCAAACAACCCCATCAAAAAGTGGGCAAACGATGTGAACAGACACTTCTCAAAAGAAGACATTCATATAGGCAACAGACACATGAAAAAATGCTCATCATCACTTGCCATCAGAGAAATGCAAATCAAAACCACAATGAGATACCATCTCACACCAGTTAGAATGGCAATCATTAAAAAATCAGGAAACAACAGGTGCTGGAGAGGATGTGGAGAAATAGGAACACTTTTACACTGTTGGTGGGACTGTAAACTAGTTCAACCATTGTGGAAAACAGTGTGGCGATTCCTCAAAGATCTAGAACTAGAAATACCATTTGACCCAGCCATCCCATTACTGGGTATTTACCCAAAGGATTATAAATCATGCTGCTATAAAGATACATGCACACGTATGTTTATTGCGGCACTATTCACAATACAAAGACTTGGAATCAACCCAAATGTCCATCAGTGACAGACTGGATTAAGAAAATGTGGCACATATATACCATAGAATACTATGCAGCCATAAAAAAGGATGAATTTATGTCCTTTTTAGGGACATGGATGCAGCTGGAAACCATCATCCTCAGCAAACTATCGCAAGAACAGAAAACCAAACACCGCATGTTCTCACTCACAGGTGGGAAGTGAACAATAAGAACACTTGGACACAGGAAGGGGAATATCACACATTGGGGCCTATTGTGGGGAGGGGACAGTGAGGAGGGATAGCATTAGGAGATATACCTAATGTAAATGACGAGTTGATGGGTGCAGCACACCAACATGGCACATGTATACATATGTAACAAACCTGCACGTTGTGCATGTGTACCCTAGAACTTAAAGGATAACAATAATAAAAATAAATAAATAAATAAATAAATAAATAAAGGAGTGAGTCACCACACCCAGTCAAGAATGTTGCTTTTTAAATGGATAAAATAAAATACATTGAATTACCAAAAAAAAAAAAGAAAGAAAGAAAGAAAGTAAAAGAAACTAAAAAGGCAGGGGAAGGGGGAGTTTTCAAAGCGTGGCTTTCAGACAATAGGAACACGGGCAAAGATGGGAACATGGGAAATGTGGCAGGGCTTGCTCCGGAGTCTCCCTGGCTCCCTTTCTGCACTGACTGCACAAGATAGGGCAGAGACCACTCTGATAAGAGTCACACGGCATAAGCAAAATCCCAGGAGCACTTTGAAAGATGCAGGGACAGGAGGAGCATGGTGATAAAGAAACTACTGTTCTACAGACAAAGATAAATTAATAACCCACACTGAAGGAACTGTCTCAACTCATCTGCCACTAGGCTTTCTTTTCAGATATGACACCACTGACAATGCTTACAAGATAGAATGAGATCAGATTTGCCAAAGGGGCATGTGTGGGCTCCAAGCCCTGTAATCCTTCCCCAGCCATACCCAAAAGATAAAGTTTAGGTGGCAAATTTTACTTGGTACAATTGAATATTTTTGTCTTGCTTCCCTAAAGAAGCTACCATCAGAAGTGGCTATGTTAAAATCACATAAAATGGGTATTGTTTTAAGAAAAAAAACTATGTTTTTTAGAATTCCAACTAGGCAAATTTTTTTAATTTCACGAGACCTTTTTTATAAAAAGCAAATTAAATCTATTTGAGGTAGGCCCTGAATGACTGTGATTCGATTCTGTTGGGGGCGTTTACTCTTGGCTGTGCCTAGAAAAGAAGATTCACAGTAAATGGCCTATGGGGGTGACTGCCATTTACCACCATGTTTTCATAAATGGAAGCAGCCAGGCAAAGAGCACAGCTGTCACATTTCCTAAACACGCTTCGAGGGTGGGAGCTACTTGAGCAACAGCCAATGTGACAGGCAGGTTGCCTCACACAGCAGATCTAAAATTTTATTAGCAACAATTTGAACTATTCAGGCAGGTTAAATGCCTTGTGTTTATGTATAAAGATAGATCAGTTCACTCATCTTGCATTTTCCTTGGCTGTTGATCAGTTCTAAAAACGAATCTGCAATGCGTCCAGTGTTCTCTAATATTGGAAATGGTCAGTGATCAAAGGAAGAGTAAAGCACACTAGATAAATGAAAGATTCACCTGGACCAGAAATCTGAAAAGGTTTATTTAATCCTCTTCCCCTGTGCATCTTCCTGTTGCAGATTCCAATTGGAGTGGAAATGCCAGGTTGCTCAGAGAGACGGTTGTCCTTGTAATGTGTCTTGGCCAATTGGAAACTGGCAGCATTCCGGCTCTCTTGAGAACTTCCTCTTGCCAAGCTCCTAAGACATTTCCCAAGACTTAGTGGATTGGCCAATTGTACAACATTTCACTAAGCACACAAACTTTTCATAGCACATTTCAGACTTTGCAGAACACTGAGTTGTTAGCGAAGTGGGGAAAAAAATGGCGTTTTATTCTTGTCTCCTGAGATGCTTCCAAATGTCATTATCATGGTCTCCCTAAAAGAGTGAAACATAATGCAAATTCCCTTTAAGGTAAGACCAATTAAGGGACACTTAAGTTTAGAGGAAAAACAAAAGCATAGATGAAACCACTTTAACAAATTAACCAAAAATTCAATTCTGGTCCTTATAAGAACTTAACCTTTTGTTCAGGATCAGTTATAACATCATTAACTTCATTCAAAAAAATATATTTATCCTGGGAACAGAATAGAAAAGGTCAAGAACTAGATTCCAAAACTTTAAAAGAGAAAGCTAGATCTCTAAATTAATAGATGAATTCAACCTTTTGGAAAAACATTTTGTATTTATTAATAAGATTTTTACTGTAGCAGGGGGAAATTACTAAATTGTTAGCTGAGAACCAATGGTAGAAATTATGTGAATGCCTACTTCACTTGAACCCTTCTAAAATTATGGTGTTGATTCACATATAATTAAAAGCCCTCAGAAAATATCCTACAGCCTGTGATGGGGGTCATTAAATAAATTAGACTAATTCCGATTTTACAAATGCAATTGTAAATTAAATAAAGTATCAAAAACAAATTCAATCACAGCTGTTTGGAAGAGTTTGTTGCTTAAAAACTTCACTCATCACCAAATAATATAATTAGGCAATTACCAAGTGACAACTGAGTGATGATTATAGCAGTCAAAGCAAAAGGGCAGAAGTCTTAAACTCCCAGAAAAGTCACTCACAGACAGATCACAATCAACCAAAGAGGGTATCTATTGACTAATTTTGCCTGACTTTCAGGTCAGCAACAGCTTTTTGCCAATTGGTAACTAGACGCACAACCAGTGAATCCATTAGGCACCGTGGATGCAGGACCTAGGGCCGGCAATACTTTTAGGGGCCCATGAAAATGTTTTAATTTGTTTTAAAAACAGAAGGAAAAAAACTTTTAGGTTAAAGAAAATGGTTTAGCATGCAATGTTAATAGAGTCATCTTACCAACTCAGTCATGAAACATAATTTTTACTTTGAGGTTTATGGAAGAGGGGCCCATGAAGGCAGAAGCACCCAGGACCCATGAACTCATTAGGGGGCCCCGTCTAGACCCTCCCAAGGGACCCCAGGTGAGTCAGCTGCCTTGGTGAGGGGCAGAGGCCAGCCGGATGTAGGAGGGAAAGTGGAAAGAAGGCAGGCTGAATGAAGTACAGAATGTGGCCAAGAACTTTATGGCATAAGACTAAGGGTGTAGGTCACACGTAGGCGAGAGCTCGGTTTTACCAAGATGGTGGCAGGCCTGAGGTTCTAGGCTACATAAAACCAAAAGCTTTGTTTTCTTCACCACTGTACCTCCGTATCAGGTGTGGTGCCTGACGCATAATAATTTAGGGTGTGTTACGAAAACTACCAAACAGAAATAAGAAAGGAATGTGTCCCTGTCATGCAATTATTTATACCACTTCTATAACTACTAGCACCAGCTCTACTGATTCCTCAACAATATGTTTCTTTTACATCCACCTAGATCAACTGTCTGCCACCAGGAGTAAATTCACACTGAGGCAAGTTTGGTGGTGGCTAGACCATGGATCTCAGTTAAGTCTGACTCCTTCACATACCAGGACTGGAACTTTAAGAAAGTTCTTTACGCTTTCTAAAGCTCAGTTGCCTCATATATGACATGAGGATATTTGTTCCCACCCTAAGTGTCATGAGGACAAAAAGAGACCATGTGTGTCATCTGCTAAGTCCAATGACTGCAACACTTACGTTCCTTTTGTGTCAATTCTGTATTACCTGGCATATAACAATGTTTCATAATATTTCTTTACTAGTGCCCCTAAAATTTACCTGTAAATATTTTCAGTTGGCTCATTCTCCATGCAACTGTTAACTAAAGATATTCCTAGATTAAAAAGTGAAGATGAACAGAAGCCAACCAGCTGCTTGGTGACCCAAATGATTATTAAGTATTAACTTACACCATCACAAGGTCCCACAATAGGCTTCTGCAAGCTTGAGGAGCAAGGAGAGCCAGTCCAAGTCTCAAAACTGAAGAACTTGGAGTCGATGTTTGAGGGCAGGAAGCATTCAGCACGAGAGAAAGATGTAGGCTGGAGGGTTAGGTCAGTCTTGCCTTTTCACGTTTTTCTACCTGCTTTATATTGATTGGCAGCTGATTAGATTTTGCCCACCAGATTAAGGGTGGGTCTGAATTCCTCAGCCCACTGACTCAAATGTTAATCTCCTTTAGCAACACCCTCACAGACACTCCCAGGACCAATATTTTGCAGCCTTCAGTGCAATCAAGTTGACACTCAGTATTAACCATCATAAACTAAAAATTCATAATGTTAAAAAATTTCAAATGTTTTCTAGCAGTATAGTCACTAAACTTTCCTGTTGTATTCTGAAGTATTGGGAGTGTTTTCCCTCCCATCTCTCAATATCTCAGTGTGAGCAGCATCCACTTATTAAATATTCATCAGTTTATGTATAAAGCTTTCCCTTAAAATTTTTAGTATTCAATTCTATCTTTTTAATCTGAAACTTTATTAGAAACAGTCTTAAATAAGGGAAAACACCATCCAATGCCAATGAGGTTGCAAATATAACGTTGAGTTGTTTCAACACATTGCAAACACAAATGGTCTAATATATTTAAATGGACATTACGCAATTAAAAGGATACTGATTGGCTCCATAGGCTATGTCATCTAGCCCCATCATCTATTTAGACAAGGATTATTTCTACCCATTATAATAAGAAAATTGAATAATGTGATTTTCAGGCCTTGTAAGGTCACATTTCAGTTAATTTTGAATTCTTCTGGTTAATGTATGAAATTATGGTAAATTTATTTCTTTTAGAAAGTGTTCTGCAGTTATTCTGCATCCATTTGAACCCTTTGAATTAAGCCAATTAAATCCCTGTTTGCATTATTATTTCTGCTGTAGGCAGGTGATTGAATTTTATCAATTTCTCCCCTAATAGTCAAAACATACATCTACTTACTACACTTAAAATCATGCCTTTCTCCTACGTTGTTCTACCTTTGGCTTCCTCCCAGTTTTTCTCAGGAACTAGTAACAATCACTCTTCGAAATATAGATGGGAAAATCTTCATCACTATTCCAAAAACATTTTTACTTTGGTGAGTTCATAAGTGATCTTTTTCTCACTAGTATATATTTTAGATATTTAACTCATAAGTAAATTGGGCTTATTCTAGTCATTTCCACAAGGATTCTCCTATTGGTCTTCATAATACAGAGTTTGTACCTTGGACGGCAATCCTAATGCTCTCCTGACCAGTCACTTTACTTGCAGATAGGAACTTCTGAGTTCTTATTTTGCTTAATATCTAACTGAGAACATGCCTGTTAACCTAATTTATATTATCCCTGCTCTGCCTAACATAAAATTCTAGAAAATAGACATCATTCATTAAGTAGCTCAGTCAGGATATGCCATTTATGTTCCCAAGTCATTTGATTCTGTTGGGCTTTCTCTTGCAGCTGCCAGTCTCTTTAAATCCTTCCTCACTTTCACCCTTGTCCTTTTACTTTTTTTTTTCTTTTTATTTTTTTAATCTTTAACTTTTTTTAATTAATATTTTACTTTAAGTTTTGGGATACATGTGCAGAATGTGCAGGTTTGTTACAGAGGTGTGGATGTGCCATAGTGGTGTGCTGTAGCTATCAACACATCATCTAGGTTTCAAGCCTCTCATCCAGTAGGTATTTGTACCTTATTTTCTTTCATATGTAGTCACACCTGGCCTTCTTCTCAGTCTTTTTTATTTCCCCAGAGCAACTTCCGTTAGGTTCCCCAGCTCTCTATGCCTTTTTTTTCAGCTGCCTTCTTAATTTTTGAATAATCTCCTACCCTAAAGCCCTTCTAGCTTCATCTTCAACTAGCTTCTGAAAGCCCCCTTCTGCTGGGAGCTTCATTATGCTGATTTGCCTGCCAGTGACACTCTCCAGGCCTCATTCGCATGAATGCTGTCCTGGACAAATCCAAGTGCCGGCACTTTAGGAGAAAGGCACTGTCTGTTTCCATCTCTTCTAAAGCACCATGTCTGGCTCTAAAAATAACATCTCCCATCAAAATAATATTCCTTAACTCAGTGTCAGAGCCTACCACCCAAGCCATGGCCACATCTGCCAAGTTAGCTTCCATTCTTCCTTCAGATTCTTTTTTTTTTTTTCAAGTTTTCTAGAAGTTCTAGGGCCAAAAGTCCCTAGAAGGTGAAAAGGAAGGTGATATATTTTTTATAATAAAAGAACAGGAAAAGCCATTGTGAACATTGTAGGGTCATTTTGTGCTAGCAGCAAAAGGGCTGACTATTCATATGATATAGAAATGAAAAGATGGGTGATTTAATAAAAAGTTCTGAGGCTTCACTGGTCTTATCTCCCATCTCTTTCATTTTCAGAAGTATTTTGAAGGGAGTTTAGGCAATAGTAACGATCTGTCATTAGTTTGGTTCCCTAAAAATCTCAAGTTATCCAAAAGGATTTTTGTTGTTGTTGTTGGCTTTTTATCTTTAAAAAGAGTAATTACTCAAATATTTTTTAAATTTCTGATCATTGTATAGTACGTGAGCAAAGTGAAATGTTTGTGTGTTTTGTTTTTTTTTTGTTTTTTGACACGGAGTCTCGCTCTGTCACCCAGGCTGGAGTGCAGTGGCGCGATCTCGGCTCATTGCAAGCTCCGCCTCCCGGGTTCACGCCATTCTCCTGCCTCAGCCTCCTGAGTAGCTGGGGCTACAGGCGCCCGCCACCGCGCCCGGCTAATTTTTTGTAGTTTTAGTAGAGACAGGATTTCACCGTGTTAGCCAAGATGGTCTCGATCTCCTGACCTCGTGATCCGGCCGCCTCAGCCTCCCAAAGTGCTGGGATTACAGGCGTGAGCCACCATGCCTGGCCTGAAATGTGGTATTTTTTATGTTTAAATATATATATATATACACACACACACACACACACGTAGGGAGATTGCTCAAGCTAATTTTCATTCCATTTACATTCAGAAAGGAAAAGGTCTCTATATTTCAGGGGGTGTCTATAATATTTTGTTTTTATGGAAACATTAGGAAGAGGAAGCAAATTATGCAGGACTCCATTTAGTTCTGACTGCCTCAAAATACAAACTGCTGAGGTTTTATAGGCTTGCACTAAGAAAAGAAAAATACTTACCACCTAATTCCAGATATTTTGTGACTTATGAACCACTAGGCATAAAATCATTGAGTCTCCAAGGCAAGAAAGAACCTAAAGTAGAAACAAGGCAATCAAGTCAGTCAATAATGAAGATCAAAAGTAAAACTTTCATTCCTGAAGAAGCCTTTTTGGAAGTTTTACAATATTTGCCTTTTTAAAATTTGTTTGTTTTGGGCCTGCATACATCTGGTCAGAATCTTCCTATTCCTCATTTCTAGTGGTTTTCCTAACTCAATTAACATTTAAGGTACATTATTTACAAGGTAATGGTAGGACTTGATTTTTTTTAAAAGTTAAAATAATTATGTGTTATTTATTTACTTAAATAAAGGTCACACATTCATTCAAGACATTCAAATGTCTTCAGGAGCTAAACAGATGGCCTATTGCATTGCACAGCTCCAAGGTACTATTAATTTCTGCCATATTCCACAGAAATGGCAGAATGCTAATAATACATAAATGGAGCTGGGAAACCCAGTGGACTGCCTACAGTAGGTAAAGTAACTGTGTAAAATGGCCCTGGATCAAGGAAGCAGAGGGGACTGTTGCCAAAGGAGGGTGCAGGACCCTGCAAACAAAGCAAATGCATGTCTGCAAACTGAATTTTGGACAGTAGGTCAAATGTTTACGATTTCATTCTATAAATAGATTAGGGAAGTATTTGTCTATGGATAATTACATTGTATCTCCTATATTATTAAAATTGTTCTACTGCCATGTCTGATTTTGGGTTTTTGTAAATTCTCTTTCAATTACCAGATTTTAAGGAGAATTTAAAAATCAAAAGGCAGTATAGCAGTGGGGTCTATGCTATTCCACAAGCAGATCGATCACTACTTATATTGTCTGTTAGTACAGGAATGTAATGACAAATCTGTTTCCACAGCAACACATGATTTTTAGATTCAAATGAAGTTATTATTTAGACATTCATTTATTTATTTGTTTTGGGTCTGCATACATCCTGCTTCTTCGCATCTTCATCCTGTCCACATCTGTCCAATGATTGTTCAACAAAATTTATTTTTTCTCAATAAGTAGGCAAGGTACTCTGCAAGGTGGCACAGTCCTTACCTACAAAAAGCTTACTGTTTAGAGAAGTAACAAATAGATACACAAAGCTATGTGGAATTGCTATATATCAGTTGTTTTTAAAATGCAGTAGTTGGTACAAAAAAGGGAAAAATTGGGAAATATAAGAAAGGCAGTGAATGCATCAAAGAGATATCTGCACTTCCATGTGTATCACAGCACTATTCATAATAGCTGAAATATAGAATCAACCTAAGTGCCCATCAATAGATGAATAGAGAAAATGTGGTACGTCTACAATGAATTGGTCCATTCTCATGCTGCTACGAAGAAATACTGGAGACTGGGTGATTTATAAAGAGGTTTAGCTAACTCTCAATTCCGCTTGGCTGGGGAGGCCTCAGGAAACTTACAATCATGTCAGAGACGGAAGCAAACACATCCTCCTTCACATGGCAGCAGGAAGGAGAAGTGCTGAACAAAGTGGGAAAAATCCCCTTATAAAACCATCAGATCTCGTGAGAACTCACTCACTATCATGAAAAAAGCACCCCCATGATTCAGTTACCTCCTGCTGGGTCCCCCCCATGACACGTGGTGATTATGGGAACTACTATTCAAGATGAGGTTTGGGTGGGGACACAGCCAAACCATATAATACAAAATGAAATTATTCCATAAAAAGAATGAAATCCTGTCATCTGTGGCAAAATGGATCGAACTGGAGGCCATTACATTCAGTGAAATAAGCTAAGCACAGAAAGACAAGTATCACATGTTCTCACTCACATGCAGAAGCTTAAAAAGTGGATCTCATGGAGCTAGAGAGTAGAGTGGTGATTACTAAAGGCTGGAAAGTGGGAGGGTTGAAGGGGAAAAATAATATGAAGGTATTTATTAACACTAAACAGTATACCTAAAAATAATAAAGATGGTAAATTATATATGTATTTTTAACCTCAAATTTTAAAAAAATTTAAAAAGAAAGGCATTGAAAATGGTCCTTGAAGATGGACCAGTTCAAAGTCATGTCAGAAAAAAGTAGTTGGCATCATGCCACACATAAAGCATTACATTAGAGAGGATATAAAGACAAGAAAAGCTGTGACTAATTTGAACCATGTGGGTGGATCCCATGGAACCTGTGGCGGAGTAGATGAAATAACAAAATTATGAGAAAGATAAGTGGAAGTGTTACCTTGCTGGCTGCTCCTTTTTAGACTAATTTTCCTTCTCCAGGTTATTCACTCTTCTCCCCTTTAAATAATACAGTTCAGGCCTTGGACAGCTTCCATTTTCTATTCACAATCACATCCTTTATGATCTCATCTACTCCTGTGGATTTAAATGCCATCTTTATTCAGATGACTCTGAAATTTGTGTCTCCACTGCCTACCCTGAACTCAAGACTTACACATCCAATTGCCACCTATATGTAGAAGCCTAATGGGCATCACAAAATTAAGAGTATTATCTTGGTCTATTAGGGATGCTATAACATAATATCACAAACCAGGTGACTTATAAAGAACAGAAATTGACTTCTCACAGTTCTGGAGGCTGAGAAGTCTAAGATCAAGGCACATGCAGTGAGGGCCCACTTCCTCTTGGACAGTGCCTTCTCACTGTGTCCTCACATAGTGAAAGGGACAAGGAGTCTCTCGGGGGCCTCTTTTATAAGGGCATCAATCTTATTCATGAGGGCTCTGGCCTTTTGACCTAATTACCTCCCAAAGGCCCTATCATCACATTGAAAGTTAGGAGTTCAACACAGTGATTTGGGGAAGACACAAACATTTGGTCTACAGCAAGTACTAAAGCTGAGTTCCTGGTACTCTCCACCAAACCTACTTCTCCTCCACCTTTCCCCATACAAATTGATTTTCTTCCAGATGCTCAGGCCAAAAATCTTAAGGTTACTCTTGACTCCTCTTTTTCTCTGATGTCAACAAACAATTATTTTAAAAACCAACATTTGACCATTTCTCATCATTACCTTTGCTGCCATCACTCTGGACTGAGGCACATCGTCTCTCACCTGGATTTCTGCAATATCTTCCTACCATGTCTCTTTGCTTCTTCCCTTGCCCTCTGCACACAGAATTCCCAACAAAGGAGCCAGATGGTTCTGTTAAAATACCAGGCAGATCATGTCTTTCCTCAGCACAATATACTAAACCAGCACCCATCTTGCTCATAGGAAAGCCCAAATCCTTCCAAAGACCATACAAGCTTTCCTTCACTCAACTTCAACCAAGGGTGGCCTCTTTTGTTTTCCCTGAAGCTTCCACCTTGAGGCCTTCGTGCCTAGCATTCGCTATTCTTGGAAGCTTTCCCTGTGTATATCCATGCAGCTCCCTCACTTTCTTACACCCTTTTTGACATGCTGCCTTCCCATAGATACCTACTCTGCCCCCTGTGTCTAGAATGGCATCCTGCACTGACTCCCACACATCCCCTTCTCTGACTTATTGTTCTCCTTAGCCCTTATCACTGTCTGACACATGCATTCTGTATATTTATCTTGTTTATTCTCAGCTCCCTCTCTGATGTAAGTTCCAAGAGAGCAGAGATGTTTGAAGATTTCATTTACTTTTGTATCTCCAGCATCTAGAACAGTATCTCCTAGGTAGTAAGAACATAATAAATACTTGATGACTGACTTAATAAAGAAGAGCCTTGAATGGTTGCAGGCAATTAAAAAACACTGAAGATGTTTGAATGGAATCTGAAGAAAGAGTAATGAGCAACACATCCCTGCCCAAACCTTGAACTAAGGAATATGGAGGCAGAAATGGCATTTTGGGGAAATTGTTGAAAAGCAAAATGTCAGAAAAATTCCGATGCTCATGTTCCTTCATGATACTTCAATCTCTGTTTATTTATGACTTGATTTTATCAGGTCAGTTTGGCATTATGGAAGAAGTAAAGGTATTGGAGCAAAAAATTAACCTAAGTTTAAATTCTAATTTTTAAAAATTTTTAAATTTTTAATTAAAAAAATTCTGATTCTGATTGTGAATGTCAGTTTCATCCATAAAATGGAGGTTGTCATTAAAATTCATTTTTATAGGTTATAAGGATGAATAATTATTAGTAATGTTCATAAAATATACAGCAGGAAACAGGTATTCATAAAATCTTAATCCCTTTGCTTTAACAATTAGGAAAACCAGAGCATAGCTAGTATTCTAAACTTATATGCCATTGGATAGTTTATTCACTAAAATTCTTGCTAATGTTATGGGTAGAAATTATCAACTGACATTTGACTAATATGCTCAGTAATAAAATGTGCCTGCTCTACAATTTCTCCTTCTGTGTATCATTAATTTTTCTATGATCCAGGCTTTCAAATTCCACACCTATCTTCTAACTATTCTATCAACGCTCAATGTCTTTCAGTATGCCCCACCAAAATAACTTTATTGAATTCAAAATGCGTTAATTTTTTATTCTGTACTTCTCTCATAAAAAAGCTTTGAAAATTAATTTTAAAATTGATTTAAACCAAAAGAGGTTAGGATCACTATATCCCACTCCAAATTGCCCATATAATTTCTGTATTAGGCAAAGTAGTACTAACTAATCTAGTGGTTCTCAAATATTTTGGTCTCAAGATCCCATTACTTTTTTTTAAAAAGTTATTGAGGACTCTCAAAGAACTTTTGTTTATATATGTTCTACCTATTAACATTTATCACATTAGAAATTAAACAGAAAAAATTTTAACACAAGAATATACAAGGATACAGGTCATTAACTATAAGAGCAATGACATTATCACATAAATCATCTGGAAAAACTCAGCTATATAATCATGACGGAATGAGAATGGCAGAGGTAAACAACATCGTGGCATTATTATGAAAATGGTTTTCACTTAGCAAACCCCACACAAGTGTCTTAGGAACACCTAGGGGTTCCTGGACCACACATTGAAAACCACTTGCCGAATCTTTGTTTAGTAACAAGTAACTCCAGGCTGGACAGTGTGGTTCACACCTGTAATCCAAGCACTTTGAGACACCAAGGTAGGAGGATCACTTGAAGCCAGGAGTTCAAGACCAGCCTGGGAAACACAGCAAGAACTTGTCTTTACAAAAACAAACAACAACAAATAACCCCCAGATTCTCAGTGTCAGATAGGCATTGTCTATCTTATAGCCAGACCATCTGGAACATGTGGCTTTACCTCAACAAGAAAAGAGACAGAGAGGAGAAGCACTTAACTGGCTGTTAACCGCTCAGACTCAGAAGTATACATGTCACTTCCACTCACAGTTCATTTGCCAGAAGGTGTCACTCAGTCCCAACCCACTGCAAAGGAGGCTGGCAGACGGGAAATCCACTCTACTGACCTGCTTTAAAACTTATGACTAACCAGCCTTCTCCAAGTACAGCATAGAGAATCATCAAAGTTGTGTTCCCTTCAGTCTGCTGAGCAGAATCCAGAGTCATGGTTTTTAGACAGGCAGTGACCAGCAGAGAAGTGGCAAGCAGATTCAGGATAAAGTTCACTAAGGGAGGAAGTAAGTGATTGGATCCAGTTACAACATCCTTGCAATCTAAGACTTATCTGATTTATATACCATAGTTTCTTTATCCACTTGTTGATTGTTGGGCATTTGGGTTGGTTCCACAGTTTTGCAATTGTGAATTGTGCTGCTATGAACATAAGTGAGCAAATATTTTTTTCACATAATGACTTATTTTCCTTTGGGTAGATACCCAGTAATATCTTGGATCTACTGAGTAGTTGGATCCCAGTAGATTGTTGGATCAAACAGTAGTTCTACTTTTAGTTCTTTAAGGAATCTCCACACTGTTTTCCATAGTGGTTGTGCTAGTTCACATTCCCACCAGCAGTGTAGAAGTGTTCCTTTTCAACACATCCACGGCAACATCTATTATTTTTTTATTATGGCCATTCTAGCAGGAGTAAGGTGGTATCGCATTGTGGTTTTGATTTGCATTTTCCTTATCATTAGTGATGTTAAGCATGTTTTCATATGTGTGTTGGCCATTTGTGTATCTTCTTTTGAGAACTGTCTACTCATGTAAGACTTGTCTGATTTAATGAACACTTACTACCTGTGAGCCAGAGGCTGCATTTTTGGTCTCATTTAATCTTCCTGAAAACCTCATGTGTTACACACCATTCTTATACCAATTTCTAAGCTGGGAAATTGAGACACAGAAGAGTTTAAATAACTTGTCCAGGGTCTTATGGTTAGCACAGAGTGGGCTGGGATTTGAGTCCAGATCTTTTAGACTTGAGACTATATTTTAATGGGTTGGCCTCACAGTAGTGCTTGCCTGAGGCATTCTTTCCTTGAGGAAATGCTTCATTATCATAAAGGTCTTTTTGGAGTTTCCTCAAACTCCAAATTAGAATTGACTTTATCCCCCAAACTGGGTGAGGAACATGTGACCCAACTGCCACAATCCAACACCATTAGTGTCACTTGGTGAATCAAAATATCTATAAAGGTTGTCTTTGCTAAATTTCATTCACTGTGTCTTAACTATCTCCTTGAGAGTTCCAGTGTAATGTAAAGGACATGAGGTACTGGGTTCTAGACCCATCACTGCATGGGATGAATCATATCACTTTCCCCATTTTTATAGATGAGGAGGCATAGATGGTGCAGAGATGTGGGAATCAGACAGACCGACTGATGCTAGGATCCCTGAAATGCCATGAACTGTTGCTGCAACCTTGGGCAAGGCATTTAACTTGGCCATGCTTCAGTTTCTTTATCTGTAAAATGGAAATAGTGATGTGATAATTTAAATATTACAGTGAAATGAGAAGTATATGGAAAGCACCCTTGAAGGTCCATGCACCAGATACATGTCATCCAACACTTCCATTCAATCCTTCTACCCTGTACCAGCAGAGTGTAACTAAAAGAGCCCCAAGTTCTGTCCCAAGAGAAAACCTGTGATTCTGTTTGTCTTTTAATCAAATTAATGCATCTGCAATCCCTCACCAGAGCATTCACCTTTGTAAATATAAGAAAAACCCATTTGTATACAACTGTTATATAATATTAATGCCTCATTTTATATAAGGTTTTATTCTTTCATACTTTTCAAACACATTGAAACACATATCAAGGTAGTTTTTTTCTTAGATGAAATGCATAAAATTTAGTCTGGCAGAGTTTCATTTAGACTTGCTCAGGTTGTCTGCTTCCTTCATTTACGAAGCAGGTATGGGGTCTACGCACTACAGTACAGTGTTTCAAAAGACAGAATGCCAAGAATAGGTGAAAACATTTTGTGAAGCTTTTCAACAATATGTATCAAAAGCCTTAAATTACTTTAGAAAGTTAATCCTGAGTAAAGAAAATGTGAAATTATAAATATGAAAAAGGCTTTATATACAAAGATGTCCAACATGGGATTATTTAAATTAGTTAAAACATTGGCATAATCTAAATTATCCAAAATTGGAAATTAGATATGTAAATTAGGATAAATTCCAATTATGTTATTTTATGATATATATGAAAACTTTTAATGATATGATATATAATTTAGGAACACACGCTGCTGAAAATAAAAGAAAAATCTGATTCATAGTGGATTGAACAAGGAAAGGTTTGCTCTTCTTGCCTAACAAGAGGCCAGGGGATGGGTGTTGCTGTTTTTTGTGTGCAGCTGCTCTGTGACAAAGTCAGAACGTGGGCTCTTTCGTATGGTTCAGGCTGTCACTGACAACTCTGCGCTTTTTATCTGCATGCTCATTGCCTCATAGTAGCAAGATGACTGCAGTGGCTCCAGGTATCACATCTGTTCTCAGGACAGGGTGAAAGGGAAATGGCATTATCAGAGATGTCTCCTTTCGCACCTATCTGTTTCATTAGGAAGTGAAATATCTTTCCCAGGCATCCCCCAGCAGATTTCCCTTTGTGTCCCATGGTCCAGAGCTGCTTCCATGGACACCACTAGCTTTCACAGAGATTGAGCAGTGAATTCAGCTTTCTGCTTCTATAGCGGAGGCAGTAAAGGCAGAAAGCAGTAGCCAAGCAGTGGTATGCAAGGGAGAGACTGAAGTCAGGTTGGAAGAGAGGAAGCAGAATGTGAAAGAGCACAAAGCGGCTATCCTGAAATGTGGCAGCGTGCTGGGGAGAATGATTTCACAGTACTGTCCCAGCAGCACGGTCAGTGTTCACTTCCTCCCAAGGTTGGGTGCAGGAGGTCAGGCTGCCTAGGGGAATGCAGACTGAGCACTGAAGCTGATGGAAGGCTGCTTTTGGTGCCAAGAAAGCTCTTAATTTTTACAGCACTTTCAGTTTTGTATTTCACTGTGTTGAAGCTCTCCAATTTGTCATGTATCCTGGAAGTGTGATGTGGTATAACATGGTGGTTAGGACTAGGATTGGAGTCTGACATAGTTGGGATTAAATCCTATCTCAGCCACTTACCTGCGGTATGACCTTGGGCTAGGTGTGTGACTTCCCTCATCTTTGATTTCCTCATGTCCGAAATGGAAAAGCATCAGTGACAACAACAATAATTTTTAATATTGTATTAGCAGTAGGAGCGGGATGTTAAAAATTGCCTTACTCTTTTGTTCTCAGAATAAATATAGTCAAGAATGCAAAGCATATGCATAGCTACATATTACAAGTCAGCTGAAATTATTTGAAATGGGTATCAGTGTATCAGATGTCAGAGAAAAGTAAAACAGCAGTCTAAGAAGAAAAATAATATTGGCAAATCATACAAATATTAGGAAATAATGAACTCTATTGAGACTATATTGTGTATCAGGAAGTGTTTTATTTGTGTTACCTTACTGAATTCCCACAGTTGATATGGTGGGACATTAGTGAGGATCAGTTAGGTTATGCTTTGATAACAAAAAACTCCAGTGGCTTACAAATTTCTCACTCATGCAAAGTCACTCACTAGGTCTGAGCCTTTTACAGCACTGCAAGTTGCTTTGATCAGCTAGTATCCCCTTATCAGCACATGCAACCATAACCACTGAGGCAGAGGGTATTACCCATGTTTCTAGCTCTGAAAACTAGCTGTTTTCTCAATGCCCTACATGCATATGCTAGAGATGCCTTGCCCTAGACAACCCAATAATATGCCTCAGTCACCTTGCCTAGGCCTCCTGCTTCCCTTATCGCCCTGTCCCCAGTCTTAGTCCATTGGAGCTGCTATAACAAAATACCACAAATGGAGTGGCTTATAGACATTAGGTCTCACCGTTCTGGAGGCTGAAAATGCAAGATTGGGGTGCCAGCATAATCAGGTTCTGCTCAGAGTTTGCTTTCTGGTTTACAGATGGCTGTCTTCTGGCTGTGACCTCACATGGCAGAAGGAACTGAAGGGTCTCTCTAGGGCTTTTTTTAAAAGGACACAAATCCATTCATGAGGACTCGACCTTCGTGACTGAATCACCTCCCCAAAGCCTCACCTAATACCATCCCTCTAGGGATTAGGATGTCAACATAGTAATTTGAGGGGGCCACAAACATTCAGACCATTGCACCCTCCCACCACTCTCCTCTGGAGTTCTCCTCCCTGGGGGGCACAGTTTCAAATACAAACCCACCAATCCAGAGTCCACACCCCAAAGCACTTCCTTTATCAGGCTTACACTCTGGGCCACTGTAGACTTGTCCTTATCACCCAGGGCCAGATACCAGATAACTATGGACAGCTGCTGTGCCCCAGAGCCTGCCCAAATCATTCAGAGTAGCCAAGCCTAACCCTGCCTGCCCTGCCTCACCTTTCCTTCCCACCCAGTTCTTCCCCTCCCTGTGCCTCAAGACCTACCCCAGTGCTTCCCATATGCCCCCTGTGGCATGGGGTCCCCTTCTCGGGACCTGGGAGTAATAAACTATCTCTTCTATGGCAACTGTTTCCTGACCCGTTGGCCTTAATACACCTGAAATAATCTACTTATATGCTGTATTTTCAAAACACAAAGGAAGAAAGAAAAAACCATGGAGAATCAGTTTTTGTATGCTTCCACCTAGACGCACAAGCACCTGCTCATCTGCATTTCGAAGGGAAAGTTCAGTCTTCCCCGT